TACTGTTCTTATAACATCTTTATGCCTCCTCTATAGCCATTCCCCTTCCTATGCAGGTCTTCGTGTTCGCATAGGGTCCAGTATTCTGGAGTGAATTACCGGCGAATCAAGTAATCACACTCGGCAGTACCTCTCTATAAAAGCGGTTGTTGGTTGTTTGATTGTGCTTGATAATAACTGTTTTTCTTTAGACTCCACGATCCTTTTTTGGAGGAAGCAGATCAAAAACCCATCTACCGACCTCTAATGAGTGGAGGGCCGCTTCACCCAATGCTGCGCAGCAGAACTGATAACCGTGTGTCTTGCATGGTAATTCTAACCACTACGTTATAGTCGACCCGATATAAAAAACAATACTCGTGGAATATTGACGACATATTCCACATTACCTTCCAGGATAGTGGATGGCTCTCAGTGATTTTCTGTCTCACTGCGGATATGAAGGAAGCTCTAATTGCAGAAAACTGCGTTTTAAAGCAGGAGTTCGACAATTGATAATGAATGGGATATCTATACCCGAAAGTTCAGTTGAAAATAAGCCCTGGCTTTGTTAAGCACTGCGGGTCACTTCCAGTCCATCAATAATAGTACTGAAAATCAAGTACAAAAGTGCAAACACCATTGAAACGGTTCCCACAAACCCAGAACTAAATGCTATTCTTAAGGCCGAGAAATGTTAAGCAAAATAACACCGTATACCGACATGGTAGCTTAATAAAATTCACAAAAGTGTGAACGAAATTGAACAGATGTGTCCAGTTTTCCGAAATATGGATTACAGAACCGCAACTCCTACTGCCTCAATCATTCAGTGATGGAATCATTTTCCAGATGTTCAGATCAAATCACCAACTTAACACCGTCTGATCGAAATCCGAGCAGAGACACACGATTTACATAGCGCAAGGTTCATTTGATTGCGACTGGCTGTGTAGTATTCCAGGAGCAGAACACGACTGGGGTCGGGTTGACTTGTGGACGAGATGTCTGCTTCGCCAAAATTTCTGCCCGCGAAATTGCACAACTTGAATTCCGACTTCGAGTGGTCTGCATTTGCTTGTGTATCGTTTATTTGTTAATACTTTTCCTACTCCGTTTTTGTTGACTTCACTTTGCTGGTGTTTGTAGATGAAACTGCTCAGTGAGGAACATGAAAGACCTAGTTGAAACCTGATTGGGTTAAACATCCAACAATACGATTTTCACACTGTCAGTGCTTCTCTTTCTCATGTTATGACGTATGATTTTGCCAATCGATTGTACGAAAATGCGGTTACATTCAGATTTTGTGCCTTGTTTGCACATTTGATAGTTGTTGTGCTTCACAGGGTGTTGTGTTTTTACTGCCACGTATTGAGTGCCGCATCCGCGATCCTACGAGTTTTCTGGAAGATGTGTTTTCATTCAGTGCAGTTGGAGAAATGCAAAACATAGAGGTGTGCGTTTGAATGTCTACGACATTCTTTCTTTCTATTTTCCATTTAGTTTAACCCTTCATATCGTTAGAGGTGATTGAATGTATTCTGGGCTATACAGTGACTCGCAGTGGCTACCAATGTATCGAGCTACTGCTGCTCTACTCCCAAACAAATACTAATTTACCGACCCCGAGGGATATAAGGTTTGGTGAGCCATGTGTTCAGCGTTCGATACCACGTGTGTGTTGCAGGGCGCCTCCGACCACTGCGCCACACGCGCTATTGTCCACGTATAATATGTACATCTATATGTACACACGTGTATATGTATATCATGTATATGTATATATATACATATATATATATATATATGTTTACAGGAAGAATTCATACGTTGTCATACGACTTTCAGAGAGAGTTATTGTAACTACCTCACAGCTTAAGCTACCAGCTAGTTTCTTCCTGAAAACGTTACGGGCGTAATTACTCACTAGTTTCTTCGAACGATGTCAAAGAAGACGGAAAATGCTGGTCTGTCCATCTCCTATATTACTTGTCGCCCCGTTGATCGTCGAGTGACTCGAGTTGGCGCCAGTAAAGTTTCCATTTTTCGCTGTCACGTGTCCCAGTGTTTTCTGCTCGCTTTAGGGACTCGTTGATCATCATATCTTTCTTGTAGGCCTTTCGTGAAGAACTCTTAACATTGGGTCGGTGGTCTTCTTGCAGTATATTTGACATCTCAAGGAATCCAGTCGCTAACAGCTCTTGTCCATTGGTTGTTCTTCATGCGCATTACGTGTCTAGCCCACCTTATCTTCGACAGTTTGGCGTATAGAACGGCATCATTGATTTTTGATCGTTGCCGCATGTCGAAGCTTTGGATCCCTTCCCTTACTTGTGTGGCATGTGACACTTCTAGGGTCGTCCTTTCGACAGCACGCTAAATAACGCTGTGTGGTCTTCATCGTGATTTCACTGCGACTAGATTTCTGACGCATGCGTTAACGCAAGAAGTACCGTTGAGTCGAAAAGGTGGGCACGGAGTGGGCTGTTCTTTGTTCTCCTCACTACTTCTTCGATGCTCTTGGAAGCTCCCCAAGCCGTTCGTTTCCTTCTGCTCAACTCTGGAGCTCAGAAGTTGTTCATCATGTTGATTTCCCGACCTAGATAGACAAAACTGAGGATTCGGAGATATTCGTTCTGTTGGGTAGGGCGTCAATGGGGCATACGTAACCAATCCTTCCTTCATGTACATCGTTTTTGTGTGATTTGCTCAAAGACCAATTTTCCACAGGCTTTATGGAAGCCGGCAAGCATTCGTTCAGCGTGATTTACGCTTGGTGCTATAAGAACTATGTCATGAGCAAAGCGAAGGTAGTACAATTGCGTACCATCGATTTACACTTCCATGTTGTCCCATTCTAATGTTTCCATGTCGTTTTCGATGATAGTGGTAAATAATTTTGGTGAGATGGTATCGCCTTACCTAAACCCTGTTTTGGCGTCAACGTTAATGTGGTATCTTGGTATCTTGGCTGTGAAATTTTTACAAAGCTCACGAAGATTCTTTATATACTGAATAGGAACTCCGTGTCTGTCCAGGGTTTCCATGACTGCTTCTATCTCAACTGAGTCAAAAGCCTACTTTAAATCGATGAAAGTGAGAGCGAACGGTCTTTTATACTCTCGCGATACTTCAGTGAGTTATATTATCGTGTGGATGTGGTCCATCGTACTGGATCCTTTTCGAAATCATGCTTGCTCACGTGGCTGTCCTTCCTCCATCCAAGTGAAAAGTGTAGACGACAGGCAGCAGTCAGATTGCGCGACAATTGCTGATATCGTGGAGGCCACACTTTTTGAACAATAACACAGTTTTGCTGGTCTTCGATTCAATAGAAATCTTGCATTCTTACAGGTAACCTGTGAAGACCCGAGCTGATGCGTTTGCGACGAATGGTGGAATATTATTCAGGTGTTCAGATCCTATGCTCTTTGAACGTGGTGTTGTTCGATTCTTATTAAACGAACTAGCATGCCAGATTTGGGAAGGGAAAACCAGTGGCGCGATTTATCCATTCTCCTTTATTTCTTTTGGAGCACGAGACCATGGAAGTTGAAGAGTTTAGTAACAATCGCGAATGATTTTGCCTTATTCTATTCTGCTCTATTCTGATCTGCTCTACTCTGCTGTATTCTATTCTAGTCTATTCTATTCTATTCTACTGTTTCTGTTTCACCTTTGATTTTCATTCTATTTCTATTTCTAGCCTTTCTATTCTATCTAGTCGATCTTTTTAATACTTCTACCATTCTATCTATTTCTATTTTCTATCATTTCTGTTTATCTTTTCATTAAAAATGCTGATATATTACCATAACCGACGGATTTTCTCGAATCTGTAGCTGTTTCGTTTGCACGTCGGAGTTCAGCCATCTTGTTTTTGTAATTGTCGGAGGTTCGGTGTGGTTTTCGAACGCTTTTCCTACCATCTCTGTTGCATTAGATGTCATGGGCAGTGATGAGATCAAATGTCTTCCAAATGGCAAAGGCAGTTCTGGAATCAGGGCATTATAACCTGCGAAGGATATTCGAGTGTTTGTTGTTCCAATGAACTATATTTCCGCAGAATTTTTCCAAATACCAAACATGAACTTATGAAAGCTAATCGTGAGCAGCGACACATGGAGAAAGTCCTACATCGTGGGATATTCGCGCAACTGTTGTACACATGTACGCAGCCACGCAAATGTGCTGTCTGCTTCGGACGATAGAAACTGAAGAATGAAATGACAGTTTATTGGACCAGCAAGTTTTCCCAGCCTCTGCTGCTTCAACCGCAACTGCTGATATTCTCTCTCTAAGATCTTCTGTTATCGTACGTTTCCATCGTTTTACAAGTTCGGACGTGACTTGGCGGTTGCCTACAACTCATACGATTCCACATTGCCGTATCAGCGCGAGTGTTTCTGGAGACGGACGTCTCTTGGTGAATTTCGAACTCTCAGCTTTAATATCATGTTGCTCGTCAATTTTACCAACTATGGCATCTTTCTAACGTCCTACTAATGATCTGGATAAGTACCAGTTTATGGTGGCTTTTTGGACTATGTTTTTCTGTTTGGCGGCTTTTTCTCCATTTTGCGAGAAATTATGTGGTTAATTACGTTAACGTAGTATCCCTTGTTATGCTATCACGTCCAGCGCTAAGAGTGGTGCTTATGAAATTTCGAGTAATCATGGGAGGTCCTGGTCATTGTGACAAACTCAGAGAGCCGCTCTCCGTTCTGTTTTCCTTCTAATCTATGAGTTCCAATGTGCCTTTCTTCAAACATTCTCTTGGGTGTAATCTTAGCGTTAAAATCCTCAATGTTGGCTCTAGGAAATCTGTGGTCTACTCTGCAGAAATTCTCTAAATCCGTAAAACAGTGGTTGTATTTGACTTAGTCTAGTATTTATTCTGACTGTGTAAGACCACGTTTATTTCTACCAGATCGGGAATCCAAATTTAAGAGGTGTTAATGTAGAAACGAAAAAAATTATTTACTGTGACAGGTGCACATTTTCTGCACCGTGTCACTTTAGAAATCGAACCTGGAGTGAAAGAGAATAGAAATCATTTCAGAAATCGAACCTGGAATGAAAAAACTAGGAACAATTTCAGAAATCGAACCTGGAATGAAAAAACTAGGAACAATTTCAGAAATTGATCCTGGAATGAAAAAACTAGGAACAATTTCAGAAATTGATCCTGGAATGAAAAAACTGGGAACAATTTCAGAAATTGATTCTGGAATGAAAAAACTAGGAACAATTTCAGAAATTGATCCTGGAATGAAAAAACTAGGAACAATTTCAGAAATTGATCCTGGAATGAAAAAACTAGGAACAATTTCAGAAATTGATCCTGGAATGAAAAAACTGGGAACAATTTCAGAAATCGATCCTGGAATGAAAAAACTAGGAACAATTTCAGAAATTGATCCTGGAATGAAAAAACTGGAAACAATTTCAGAAATTGATCCTGGAATGAAAAAAACTAGGAACAATTTCAGAAATTGATTCTGGAATGAAAAAACTAGGA